TCAGGAAGCCTAAGGCGGTGAGGAGGCTGAGCTTCGCAGACGAGGTGACCACGTCCCCGGTGCTCGGTCTGAAGATCAAGGAGGAGGAGCCCGGGGCGCCGGCGCGGGCTCTGGGCGGCGTCCGCACGCCGCTGGGGGAGTTCATCTGCCAGCTGTGCAAGCAGCAGTACGCGGACCCCTTCGCGCTGGCTCAGCACCGCTGCTCCCGCATCGTGCGCGTCGAGTACCGCTGCCCCGAGTGCGACAAGGTCTTCAGCTGCCCCGCGAACCTCGCCTCCCATCGCCGCTGGCACAAGCCACGTCCCGCGCCCTCCTGCGCCGCGAGTAAACCTCCCTCCGCGCCGTTGACCCCTCCGGACCCTTCCCTGGCGGCGGGCAAGGAGAACGGCCGCATGCCGCGGACCGACGATCAGCACCCGCAGGCCCGGGACAGCTCCGGGGCCGGTCAGCACCGGGACAGCGCCACTCTCGCAGGCCTGCAGGCGCTGGTGCACCCAGAGGCAGCACGACCGCAGGCCCCCTACCCCGAGGTGATGCTCGGGCGCCGCGGTCCCGGGCCAGGCGGTGCCAGCGCGGGGGCGACACCCGAGGTCTTCGTGTGCCCGTATTGCCACAAAAAGTTCCGTCGCCAAGCCTATCTGCGCAAGCACCTGGGCACCCACGAGGCGGGCCCGGCCCGTGCACCAGCCCCGGGCTTCGGCTCGGAGCGCACAGCCCCACTCGCCTTTGCGTGCCCGCTTTGCGGGGCGCACTTCCCGTCCGCGGATATCCGAGAGAAGCACCGGCTATGGCACGCTGTCCGCGAGGAGCTGCTACTGCCCGCCTTGGTCGGGGCTCCCTCGGAAGCGGGCCCTGGAGGGGCGTCCGACGGTAGCACTCAGCAGATTTTCTCATGCAAGTACTGCCCATCCACCTTTTTTAGCTCCCCGGGCCTGACCCGGCACATCAATAAGTGTCACCCCTCAGAAAGCCGGCAAGTGCTGCTGTTGCAGATGCCACTGCGGCCTGGCTGCTGAGGGGACTGAGGCCTGGCGAGATTTTGAGAATGGCTTGGAGAAAACAAGATGGGAACTCCTGTGGGGCTTTCTTCATCTGGCAATTTCCTCTTTCCTCCCCATGCCTTCCCTCTTAAAACTCTCCCGGTCACGATCCGCCCGGGAGAAGGCAGCGAGATGTTAAACACCCTCTTTAGAGCAGGTATGTATCTGACATAAAAATCTATGGTCAAAACTGACAGCTTGAAGTCCTCATTTCCCCGCTAAAACAGGACATCCCTTTCCTTAAAACGCCGGAGACCCCAATGAATCCTCAATGGTTTGTAGTTCCTATGGAAAGTCGCAGTGAACGCGTGCAAGTCTCAGTGTGTACACCTAAAGTGGTCGTCACCAACGTTTCTCTCTCTTGTCACCTCAGGCACTTAGGTCGTTTCTGTCTCAATAGGGTCAGATTTCTTGCCTTGTATATTCTGTGAATCAAGCTATGTGACTGATGCCAAACTTGCAGGGAAGGAGGACCTACCCTTGTAGACAGGAGTACAAGAGGATGTTGCTGTCTGGTGTGAAACTTTCTTTCCTCATTTGGATGTATTAGTTCCTTTTTAAAATTAGGTTTTGGAGGTGGGGAAGGTGCGGCTTAGTGGGAAGGAGTTGGTGTGCTCTCTGAATTATTTACCTGTTTTATGTGCTGCATCCAGGAGGAGCTACTTAATTTTTTTCTTACATAATCTTTTTTTTTTTTTTAAAAATACCATACTCATTCCTAAAGTTTGAATGTTTTAGAAAGATTTAATTCCAATTATGTAACGATTATGCTATAAATCTGCTGCATATTACATCAAAAACTGTTCAACTTAAGGAGGATGTAATCCACCATGGAACTGAATGTTAATTCACTCAATATCCTATATTTCTTTGCAGGAGCAATGTTTGATTTTTTTTTGTAAATCATACTCAGTGTATATTCTGTATCTATTCCCTCAATAGCCGGGGTCTGGGACACTGGCTGAGTGTTGTCCAACAATAGATTTGTAAGCTGCTTCCGCCAAATAAATGTACTATGTAGACTGTACCTGTTTTCTTCTGTCTTAAGAAGTGGTTGAACACAATGTATTTTCAAAAGCACATCTCTTACCTTCCTAATACCAGCATTCAACTTTGGAATCTTAGGGACCTATTTTGACAGAACACAAAGGCAGGAGATAGTATACCTTGCAGAGGAATATAACAGTGCTGAAATGCAATGGGAATTCCTCCTTGGAAGCTGAGCTGCGGACTGCAGCTCCATGGAGGAGAGAATAGGACTGTTTTTGTTTTAAGTCTACTCAATAGTGTTACCTGGAGATAACAGAAATTATAAATGGTGACTATTTCAAGTCTGTATTTTCTGTTCATCTTGTTACCTGTTATCAATCCAATAGAAATACGTAAGGAGTTAAGTATGATTTTCCTTTGAAAAATTCTTCCTGTTGGCTATGGGAAACTCAACTGTTTTAAACACATTCCTACAGGATCTCTTTACTCATTTGATTGTTTTATTTATGAGCATTAATTTAAAAAAAAAGCAAATTAGGAACTCTAAAAATTTGCTAAGAAAAATATGGTAGAAAGTTTTATTCCTGAAAATATATTAAAAAACACTAAAAATTTCAAAAGTCAAATGTCATGAGATAGATGCATTGATTTTGGTCAAGTTTCTGTCCAGACTTAGGAAGTGGAAGACTTTCTGTGCTCAACTGGACAGCGGGAGGACCTTTGAAAAGTACACTGGGCTGATTCTGAAAACAGCGTTTATGTTTATTTTTTCATGATTAGCTAAGCTGCCCTAGGGGATATGTTACCTCTCCCAATTACATAGCCCTGCTGCTTTTAAGTCTGAAAATACATGAAATAGAATACAATCATGGACAGGAAGTGTGAAGAATATTTTATTTTGTTTTATTAAATATCATGTCATCTTTTTGTCCCAGTACAAATCTGTAGACACTACATGAATGATACATAATTTATATTCTGTGGTTTGCCGGGATGATGTATTTACACATGCAGTTGGTATCAATCATGCTACATTTCCTTAGGAGATCTCGCCCATGTTAAACAAAAGGGGTGGCTTATTTACTACAGGAAATACTTCTGGAGGTGGGATGCATACCAATCTGCACCTGCAGCAAGTTTAGTACTACAATATTAGCTTTAACTTAAGACTCCTAGGTCATGTTCCCTTCTTTTTAAACAGTACACATAATTTGAGCAAAACATTTATATGAGAAAAGTCTTCCACCCTTCTCCACCACCTTCTTTTTTGGTACTTTACAAAGTACACAGACACACCAGGATAAAGGGGTCAATAATAAAGGACCACAGCCCCCAAACAGAAGTGGTATTTAACAGTGATGCCACCTACAAAAGCAGAACACAGTTGTTTGGAAGCTCAACAGAAATCAAAGTTCAGCGGTGATTTTCCTAGTTATTCAATGTGTTGTGTTGTCTTCTGCACTGCCGAGAAGTGAGACACTGACCTGGGAAGAGAAAGCTCAGCTGGAATCGGAGCTGCTGCATGGCCATTAGAGTGTTTCTGTTTGGAACATAAACAATCTGTCCACATCCTGTGTAACGAACTCATGTGCAGCTTTTGCTCTAGCTTTATAAGTGCTTGTATTAATTTACATTTGTAGGGCTGGGCTGTAAAGGGCAGTGTGCTTGCCTAGCATGCTTGGGATGCTGGCGTCCGTTCCCAGCACTACAAAAAAAAAAATGGTTACATTTGTAAAAACTATGTATTTATTGAATTACAAAGTTGTAATGAGGCACAATAAATAACACAACTATCTGTCCAATTATATCTTGGCTCAACATTAATCATGGATTGAAGGCAGCACTACTTAGACATGATTATCTAGGAAAGTGAAGAGTATGGAATAAAATTCAATCCCCTCAAAATACAGTAGCATGGAGTGTGGAAAAAAACAAACCTGAACTAAATAAATAGTCCAAATTTAAAATAGTAAGTTGCAAGTTACTTTAAGTCCAGTGTTTTCTCAAATAAGTGTACAGGAAGGAACATGAATGTTATGGCAAACATGAGGCCTGAAAGAGTTAACACTACGTTTGTGCCAGGGTGGCTACTGCTGATCACTGCTGGGCTGTTTGTCTCCTTAGGATTTATTGGCTGAGCCAGAGGACCGACGCAGCTTCATGGACATGCGGCTTTTGCTAGTTCGAGGAGACATTGGAGAGGCCAGGTCGGCCCCATCTACCTGTGCTGCTGTGGGAGCGTCACTGGGTAGACTCTCTGGGTAGGATCCTGCAGGAGAGAGTGAGCATGTTAGTATTCTCCAGTCTTTCAGACTGTAACGACCTTTCTGCTGCTATCTGGAGCAAGATCCCAACCCTTCACAAGGACTTCAGAAGTTAAAAAAAAAAAAAAAAAAGCAAGTCCTAGACTTGCTAGTTCCCAAAGCTTACTAATATATTTGAACCCCTGTGACCTGGTGGCTCATGTCATATTTTTTAAAAAAGCACCAATTATCGTGTCCAGAGCCAGCATCCTGGAGAAAGACCAGGGATCCAAAGCACTGCCAGCATGCAGGGCAGGTGGTGGGAGGTGGGAAGGAAGAGCAGCTGCACTGAGCAGCCAGAGAGCATCTTCTCACTCCACGACAGGCTCCAAACAGGAAGGCCCCCAGGAGACCAGGCTAGTACATAAGGAGGTTCCAGAAGGAGCAGACAAATTCTTGGGAGAGGGAAAAAGATAGGAATTTTCATTTGAAAGCCAGTCAGATAAGACAAACCAACTTTAGAACATGTCTTTAGACACGAGTAATGCTTCTGTGTTCATTTTGTGTTTACAGTTAGCAGTAGAATTAGTAGACACGGAATTGTAAAAAAGGCAAAACAAAGTCAACTAGGAAAATCCCGTGTCCCTGACAGGGCACTTCTTCCAGAGCCTCACTGACACTTCGGGCTTGGGAATGATGATGCTAGTATTGCTGTGCAATGAAACACTCATGCTCAAACTGAAGATATACGTATTTGTAAGAGAAAAACAAAGATGCTCAATAAGTACAGCTCCTACTGAGACATCTTAAGAACACATCCCCAAAGAACTCTTCAAAGTACTTTGAAAAGCCAAATGGTCTAATTATACTTAGGGACAGACAGACATTTCTAAGCGACATTCGCCTGTCACTTGTACCTGTGTACTGCCTGCTCAAAGTATCTTCTCCACTATTTCTTTTCTAACCAGATGAGGCTGGCCTACGAAATAAAGCAGGAAGTTTGTTTTTGTTTTCTCTCTCTCTCTCTCTTTCTCTCAGATTTACTCCTCCCAATGATCTGAGCCGGCTCACAGTAGACACAGACTAGAATACTCAGAGGATGCAAGTCCACAGCCTACTTAGAGAAGCCTGGCACAAGAGTGGGAAAGACAGCGAGGAGCAGTCACCGGGCTCCCTGGTGCCGCGCAGGCGCTGCTGTGTGAGGAGAGATCTTCCCTCGCAGCGCTGCTCCTTGAGGGCCAGTGTCTCTGGACGAGGGCCGAGGGAACAGAAGCGGCAGTGCATGCTTTCTGCTGGGAAGGGAAAGTGCAGTAGCGAGCAGAGTGGAGAACAAAAGGGAAGACAGACAGACGTGAGGGAGCCTGTGCAGGCGCTGCAGGCGTTACCCCAGCAACGGAGCAGTCAGGTTTGTATTCCCAACACAACTGGCATGCAATGAGTTAGGGTGGTGATGTCCCGCAATGGCCAACGCTCCCAGTTCGGATGCCATACTTACCAACTAACAAAACAAGTTCAAACAGGAAAAGAGAACAGGAAAAAAGTCCGTGAGAGAGCCGAGAAACATCTCCTGTCTAATGTCTTCACTGCACTGGTTGTCTTACCAATCAGTCATAAGACCTTTAGACAGACAGTGTAATGAGGTAATAGCTACAACTGTTGAAATTTCATGGATTAAAATGAAAATTTCAACTCCTTGCTAAACTAGCCATTTTCAAGTGCTGAGTCACACCTGGTTAGTTGCCACCATCTTGGACAGACATGTGACATTTATATCACCAGAGTTTCACTGAAGAGAATTGCTTTCAAGCATCCCAGTTAATTCTTAATCCTCAAACCCAGTACTAGAATGAAGAGTTTTTGGAGAAAACCAAAATGTTTCCGTAAACTGTTTTTGTTGGTTGAAACTCTTGAACCGTTGAAGGCAGTTTGACAATGAGATTTACTGGTTTTTGTTTTCCCCACTTTTGAATGACAGGAAAGATGCCCATCTTTGGGCATCAGGGTGCACATCCCACTTCTCTATGTAGAACGCACTGTCTTCAAAACCAGCCATTCTCCCATGTCTTCTTATTGCCTCACAGTGTGGCTGGCCATAAGAACTTTAGATAGGCACTATGTAATGAGGTATCGAGAGCCACATTAAAATGATTAAACTTCATTTCATGCAATTAAAATGAAATCAGCCGAGTCAGGGCTGGTGGAGGTCTCATGCTTACACTTGTGCAGTTGACCCGTGGAGTAGACTCAGCAGAGCCCCACCCCAGCAGCCCCCAGGAGCAGGCCTCGGCTTTGGATTTATAAAGAAAACAGTCATTCTTGCTATCCCTGTCACAACCTAGTCTTTCCAATTATTGATTTACACCAGATGAGTACTGAAGATGTGACTAAATTATTTGTCATCACTGTATCCTCCCAGGGTAGCTTAAAAAGTACCCATGGCTCCTATGGCCATGCACTACCCGATCCAAGTGTTCCCAGATGGGTGTCTACATTTGACAGTACAAGCTGGTGTACTGCGTGCTGATTACTATAAACCATCATAGATGATACCATGGATATGACTTTGGGAGGCTCCACAGACATTTTAAAAAGGAGTATAAATGATTCTTAAATTTATTTTGGCTTGGTTTATACTGTCTGCTGATAAGCATGGCCACTTTAAAACTTCCTACAGTTAGTGTCTGTATATATACTGTATATATACTGTAAAGCCTGTAAAATACTGTAACTTTGAAAGTGACTTCAGTTAGATCAACTAAGAGACAATGTGAATATGTCAGAAAGAATGAGGCTAGGTACTGCTGGACTCTTGTTTTCTAATAATAATAATTATGTATTTACATTTAGTTATTTATTCTGTCTGTGTGTATGAATGCCATGGGGCATGTGGAGGTCAGAGGACAGCTTGTGACGGTCACTTCTCTCCCTAGTCTACTATATGATCCCCGGGGATCCCACTCAGCTTGTCTGGCTTGGTGGTGAACACCTTACCTGCTGAGTCATTTTGCCGGCCCACCTCTTGCTTTATGAACTGTTTCATCTTGGGCAAGCTGACTGC